TAGTGTGTGTGGTGTGTTGTGTAGTGTGTGTGTGGTGTGTGAAGTGTGTGTGGTATGCTGTGTAGTGTGTATGTGTAGTGTGTGTGTAGTGCGTATAATGTGTGTAGTGTGTGTAGTGCAGTATGGGTGCAGTGCATGTATGGTGTGTGTATGGTGTTGTGTAATGTGTGTGTATAGTGTGTGTGTATAGTGTGTGTGTGTAGTGTGTGGGGTGTGTGTGTAGTGTGTTTTTTGTGTGTGTATGGTGTGTGTGTAATGTGTGTGTGTGTGTGTGTGTGTGTGTAGTGTCCATACCTCTATAATTCTGCATCGTTTCTCTCTGGGTAATAGCAACAGCTACCTATACTCCCAATTCAGCCATAGGGTATTTTGTTTATGGGCTAGTACTTGCTCTCTCTGTTTTCTTTTGTTATTGTTGCGTTGCTCACAACCAAAGAAGCTTAACTGATAGGGAAATTGATACCAAAAATTGGCTACTGTAGACAATAAACCCTCCCGGATTTGCATATTAGGAATGGGTTTTCTGGCTGAGAAGTGGGAGAAACAGTGGTGAGGCCCTTTCCCTTAGCATTCTGGGTACTGGTGGTTGCCAATAGTTGAGAAGAAGATGAGGAACACTGGGACAGGAGCCGGGCAACTGCTTCTAAGGCAACTGGTAAATGCCTCACTGAAATCTTCAAAATTTCATTCAAGGCATGAAATACATTCTGGCAGGTTCTGTTGTCAGCTGAAATACTCTTGTATGAAAATCAGATTCCAAAACTGATTCTGCAGATATCTGATCCACATGATGAACTCAGCCCTCATTAGATCAATGAAGTGAGAATTAAGGCACAAACAGGGATGTCTATGTGGCTATAACAAACTAACACAAATTTCTATGATGTGATTGTTGCTAGATGCCATCAACATCACCCTGACTCATGTTGACCCCATACCGGATGGAACAGAACACTTCTCAACCCTGCATCATTTCCAAGATTGGTAGGGGATGTGAACACTGTGATCCATAGAGTTGTACTCATCTGTTACATGGTCATACTGTGAGGGCTTACATGTTGCTGTGATTCTGGAAGCTATGCCACTGGGGTTTTAAATACCAACAGGGTCACCCATGGTGGACAGGTTTCAGCTGCACTTCCAGACTGACAGGAGTAGGATGAAGGAGAACCAGACAACTTCTGAATGTTTAGCCACTGAAAAACTTACAAAACACAGTGGAACCCTGTCAGATATTACCAGAATATGGAATGTTGAAACAGGATGAAGACCACCAGAATATTATCAGATATAGTGCAATAAGATGAGACCCTCAGATTGGAAAATACTCAATACATGACTGGGAAGAGCTGCCTCCTCAAAGTAAAGTTGACTATGATGACATGAATGGAGCAAAGATTTCAGGTTCTTCATTTATTGATGAGGCATAACTCATAATGAGGAAAAACAGCTGTAAATATCCATTAAAAATTGGAACATGGAATGTATGCAGTATAAATCTAGGAAAATTGGAAATAGTCAAAATGAAATTAAAAGTATCTAAAGATGGTATCCTAGGCATTAGTGAACTGAATGGACTGGTATTGGCCATTTTGAATATGACAAATGTACGGTTTACTATGTAGGTAAAAGCAAATTCAAGAGAAATAGTGTTGCATTAATCATCAAAAAGAATATTTGAAGATTTAGCTTAAAGTGCAATGCTTTCTATGGTAGGATAATATCCATAAGCCTACAAGAAAGACCAGTTAATACTACTATTACACATCCAATCACTAAAGCCAATGATGATGCAATTGAAGAATGCTATCAATTTCTTCAGTATGAAATTAATCAAACATGTGATCAAGATTGTTGATAATTACTGGCAATTGGAATACAAAGGTTAGAAACAAAGAGGAAGGATCAGTGGTAAGAAGATATGGCCTTGGTGAAAGAAATGATGCTGAAGATTGCATGATAGAATTTTACAAGATCCATGACTTCTTCATGGAAAAATACTTTTTTTGAACAACACTAAAGATGATATAAACATGGACCTCACCAGATGGAATATACAGAAATCAAACTGACTACATATTTAGGGAGAGACACGGGAAAAATAGCATCCATATTGTGGCACTGTGCACTGGACTGAAAAGTCAATTTGATCTGTGAGGTCGGTGGTTCAAGCTCACCAGACGCTCCTTGGAAACCCTGTACAGGGTCACTGTAGGTCAGAACTCACTCGACAGCACTTAACAACAACAGAAACATATCATCAGCCAAAACAAAGTCGGGGGCAGACTGTGGAACAGACCATCAACTGCTCATATGCAAATTCAGGCTGAAACATAAGAAAATTAAAACAAGTCCACAAGAGTCAAAATATGACCTTGAACATACCCTACCTGAATTTAGAGATCATCTGAAGAACAGATATGATGAATTAGACACTAATGATCTAAGACCAGAAGAGTTGTGGGATGACATATAGAACATCATACAGGAAGAAAGCAAAAGTTCATTAAGAAGATAAGAAAGTAACAAAAACAAATGCAATTGTGGATTTGATGCCCTAGGTAGACATTATTCCCTGCAGTGAGTCTGAGAAAACGTGGTTGATGATTTCAGATTTCAGGTACACATTTGATACTAACTTGTCAGAATGAGATCACATTTCTCTGCCCTTCTGGCTTCAAAGAAGCCTGCAGATGAGATGTAAATATTAATGTGGAAAAAAATACTTATGATTATATGGAACATTTACTATATCTTCTCTAGTCCAAGAAACATAGCTTTCTTTTACATATTTATAAATAAATAAAGCATATGTAAATGGATTTTTACGTATTGAATACTTTTCAATATTAAATATTTTGATACTAGGAATGAAAATCTACTTCAGATTAAACCTTTGTCCTTGCAGTGAATTAACCCTTAAAAGAAAAAAAAAAAAGACAACAAGAAAGAAGGAAAAGATCAAAATGAATTGGAATGTCAGAGGACACTCTGAAACTTGCTCTCCAGGATAGAGATGTTAAAGCAAATAGAAGAAATGAGGAGGTCAAAGAGGTGAACGGAAATTTCAGAGAGCAGCGTTATGAAAATGTTTGAAATATTGTGAGAATTATCAAATTGTGACACAGAGACACAAAGTGAACACATCCTGTAGCAAAAATGGGGCCAATAGAGTTGTTCAATGCAGTTTTACCACAAACCTTCAACTTCTAAAATATGGGATATGTGTAAAGCACAATGAAAATGAGGTATCTTGAATCAGGCACTGAATGCACTTTGTGACTTAGATTTTCCAGGCAACCCTGCTTTATTTTATTTTATTGGTTTTGTTATTCAGCATATGCACAGCAACAAATAGACCAATTCAACAGTCTCTGAAGGTGTTAATTCACTGGCATTCAGTTCATCAAATGGCACAGCCATTCTCACTAGTTTTGCTGAGTTGATCTTACCTCATTGACATTAACCCACTACTGCTTCCTCTCTAATCTCTTGAATAGCTGCTGTCTGTTTGATTAATTCTATTTAGATAATGCTTTAAAAGAGCATAATGCAAACAACCTTTACTAGTTAAACTAAACTATTATTTGGTTTTAAGAAGACTTTAGGGGATAATTTTGCTTAAGGTTTGAAGATTACTGCAGGGCGATAGGTTTGGGAGTTTATCCACTTTCCGTGACTCCATTTCCTGCCTTGAACCCACTTTCCATATGCATTAATCCTTCCCTAGCCAGGCTCAACTACAGAAATGCCCAACTCCTTAATACGCAGCTGCATTAACTTGATCTCTCCCTCTTTCCCCTCAAATAAAATGCTCCACTCTGGGGACATCCTCCCCTGCTCCTGCCACTGATTAGGAGCTCACTGCAGTAGCTGATGGATCTGGGTAAGCTCCTCTAACTGCCTCTCCATCTCCTGAGCCAGCTTCCTCAGCTCATCAGCTGACTCTTCCTTCGCCCCTTCATACAAGTGCACTGAGGTTTCCGCAAGACTGATCCCATCCAACAAAAGGTTGATACCTAAGGTGACCCCACCCAGGATCCGGGCTCCCCTGGTCATTGTTATAACAGTGCCTTCTAAGGCTTCCTGCAACTCATTAATTGTTTCACGCATGGAGGTCCCAGTGGTCACGATGTTCCTGAAATCATCTACAAGGTGAGAGTTGTACATCCTGAGAGCACGGATGTGCTTTGCCATGGCCTCCAAGTCTTGCTCGCACTGCTTTGTAAGAGAAAAGACTTGGCGTGTGCTCCCACCCCCAACTTTCAAAATCTCCCTTATTTGGTTGATGCCAGTTGACATCAGCTTTGTGGCTTCAACTTTGGCATTCAACTTACTTGTGTCATCCACGATGTTGGTGGACACATTAGTGACAGCAGATGCTATTCCCAGTCCTAACCCAGCGGCTGTGAGCCCCAGACTCAACCCTCCTGTCTCTGGTGCCATCATTAAGCCAGCCGTGGACATGAGGGCAGAGCAAACTCCAGTTGTGCTGGCCACCACGTTGGAGATGGTGCAGTCTTTGTGTATTTTGTCAACCTTGTCTGCAAGCATGTGAAGCTTTTGTATACTGCTTTCAAGCTCCATTTTCAACCCAGGAAACGCCTTCAAAAATGTGTCTCTCTCTTTTTCAAACTTTTCTTTGTCTTCCATTGCCTTGCCTATGGTAAGCTTGTCCAGAGCTTTACGTAGTACATCTGCCTCATCCCTGTAACAACAAAGATCTAATAATTAAGAAAGGCAGTTTGATTCTCTGTAAAATGGGTTTGATAAAATCTATCCCTGTAAATCAGAGTTTTTACTGTAAAACAAATAGAATTCTAGAAATGCAAAAACGTTTTCTTTCAATGCTAACACACATGTTTGTACATCATAGATGCTCTGTAGTTCTTATTCAGAACAGGAATAATTCAACAAAACTCATCTTAAGCTGCTGTTTGTGGTAGGTAAAGATGTTTTCTCATTCAAGGGGGAATTGATACCATTGAGGTTGATCAGCCCAAGGGCAACTGCTACTTTTCCTGTAACCCATGAATGACTATTGTTTAGGACCAGATGTATCAACCTGACTTTTTGAACAAGATGAAACTGTGGACTGACTGTCTTTTCTGGGTCATTTCCATCCAAACAGATCCCATAACAGATAATGACCTCTCAATCCATCACCTCCTCCCTTGTGTTTTGGACTGATAACATTCCCAGGATCAGCTTAGCTAAGTGTGTGGGTTATACGGCACCTGACAACTCCACTGCTACTTCTGTTGCCTATGGGGAAGAACGAATGGCTTCCTTCTCCTGCATCATAAGAGGGGTTCATGCACACCATCTCCTGTGAGACCTTCTAGTCATGGCAGACCAATGCCCACTACTGATGCCAGTACTGCTCGATCTCTTCTCTATTAGAGTAAAGCAGTGCTCTCCATCCAGTACCTGTGTGTGAGCCCTTCATTCTTTGATGACCCAAACACCTACAAACTATGTAGTAGACCTGCATGTGACATGGCTCCACCACAGTAAGTTGTGACAGGGAGGACTTGTTCAACAAGTGTTTGTAGTGTGGGAACTCTCCAGAAGCACAAAGAAAAGTGAGATTGGAGCACAAAAGCTTGCATTCATAGACTATTAGAACAAAAGACAAATAAAGTGACATTTGTATTGTTTTGTATTGTAAAGTGTCATCAAGTCAGTAGGAACTCATAGCGACCCAATGCACAACAGAACGAAACACTGCCCATTCTTAGGCCAACTTCACAATCATTGCTATGCCTGAGCCCATGGTTTCCCCCACTGTGCCAATACATCTCGTATGGGGTTTTCCTATTTTTCTCCAACCCTCCACTTTGCCAAAAAATGATATCCCTCTCCAGGGACTGGTCCCTCCTGATAACACGTCTGAAGAATGGGAGATGAAGTTTGTCCATTCTAGCTTCCAAGGAACACTCTAGCTGTACTTCCTCCAACACAGATTGGTTTTTCTTTTTCCGGTCCATGGTACTTTTAATATTCTTCTCCAACACCATAACTCAAATTCATCAACTCTTGTATGATCTGCCTTATTCATTGTCCAACTTTCGCATGCATATGAGACGATTGAAAATACCATGGCTTGAATCAGGTGCACCTTAGTCCTCAAACTGACATCTCTGCTCTTCAACACTTTAAAGAGGTCTTGTGCAGATTTGCCTAATGCAATAAATACATCATTTGATTTCTTGACTGCTGCTTCCATGAGTGTAAATGGTTGATCCCAGCAAAATGAGGTCTTTGACAACTCCAATCTTTTCTCCATTGATATGGATGTTGTTGATTGATCCTGTGATGAGGATTTTTATTTTCTTTACATTGAGATGCAACCCATACCAAAGGCTGTGTATGCTCTTTGATCTTCATCAGTAAGTATTTTAAGTCCTCCTCATTTTCATCAAGCAAGGTTGTATCATCTGCATGTTGTTGTTGTTAAATGTCATAGAGTTGGTTCCGACCCATAGCGACCCCATATAGGGTTTCTGAGGATGCAAATCTTTACGGGAGCAAAAAGCCTCATCTTTCTCCAGCAGAACTACTGGTAGTATTGAACTGCTGAACTTGAGGTTAGTAGCCCAACTCGTAACCACTACACTACCAGAGCTCCTTATCATCCATATAGTGTGGGTTGTTAATGAGTCTTCCTCCAATCCTGATGCCACATTTTTCTTCACATAATGCACCTTCTCAGATTATTTCCTCAGCATACAGGTTGAAAAAGTATGGTGAAAGAATACAACTGTGGTACACTCCTTTCTAAATGTTAAATCATTTGGTGTTGCCTAGTTCTGTTTGGAACAATTGCCTCTTGGTACAGGTTTCACATGAGCACAATTAAGTGTTCCTGAATATTCATACTTCTCAATGTTGTCCATAGCTTGTCATGATCCACACAACATGTAGTCAAACATTTGCATAGTCAAGAAAGCACAGGTAAACATCTTTCTGGTATTCTCTGATTTCAGCCAAGATCCAGCTGACATCAGCAATGATATCCTCACTCCGTGTCCTCTCCTGAATCGGGCTTGAACCGCTGGAAGTTCTCTGTCAATGAATGTTTGCAGCTGTTTTTGTATTACCTTAAGTAAAACTTTACTTGCATGGATATAAATTATATTGTCAGTGATTTCTGCATTCCATTGGGTCACTTCTTTTAGGAATAGGCACAGATACAGATCTCTTCCGGTCATTTGGCCAGGTAGTCATCAAATTCCTTGACATAGATGAGTGAGTGCCTCCAGTGCCGCCTCACTTTCTTGAAAGATTTCAATTTTTATTCCATCAATTCCTGGCACCTTGTTCTTTGCCAATGCCTTCAAAGCACCTTGAACTTCTTCCTTCAGGATCATTAGCTCTAGATCATATGCTACCTCTTAAAATGGTTTTACAACAACCATTTCTTTTTGTACAATGACTTTGTGTATTCCTTCCTTCCATTTTCTTTCTTTCTTTTTAAGTTTTTATTGTGAATTGAGTGAAAGTTTACAGGGCAGATAATCAGTTTTATATTCAACAAATTGTATACTTTGTTTTATTACAATGATTATAATCCCATGTACCATCAGTTAACAGTATTTCTCTGTATTCATTCTTTTTTTTAACACTCAGACATATATAATCATTTACACCACCAAAGGGCACATTCTTCAAGTCTGCCTCCTGGCCACCAGCTCTCAGTCCCTCATGTCCCTCAGTTTCCATGTATCTAGAGTCCCCAGCTGCTCCCTCTCTCCATGTCCCCATCTCTGCCTCCATCTTTGGTATCACTGCTTCTCTGGATAAGGTCCCGCATTCCACTGTGCTCCTCTTCCTTGATGGTCCTAGGGCCCTTCTGTTTCTGGACTGTAAGATTAACTACTCCCGCATTTTTGTTACAAAACTCCTACCTTTACAATCGTGACAGTCACAGTTAATCCTGATAACAATTACTCACTATTGAATCATAAGAATCTTATTCCCATCTCTTTTTACAAGACCCATCTAGGCAATATGAAAAATATTCAGTGGGGACTCTATCTTCCCACACACACTCTTAAACTAAACTCCCTCTTTTCTTTTTGAACTTCCTCTTGAAATCTTATAAGATAGTCACTTTGTGCCTTTATCACCCCCTCATTTTAGGTATCCAATGTCTAAGGTGCCCATCCCTATCTACCCTGTATATAGAGGGGATAGCATTGATACTTGATGTGAAGACTCCTTCCTTCTCTGTTGGTATTTAGAACTACTACCTCCATGAATATAGATTAAGTTCATCAAATTGTAGCAATTTACCCTCATTTCCTTTTTCAAAAATTGTCTTTTGTTTTTGTTTTTTTATCTTCCTTTAGTCGAGTTCTGATTATCAAGCCATCGAGGCTAGGTCAAATGGGTACTGTCTGCAAGTATGGGTGTTCTTGTGTGTCTCCCCTAACTTCATATCAGCTGGATGCTTCATTCTCAGCTCTACCCCTCTGTGGCTATGTCCTTGTCTATGGTCTCAGGAATCCCCAGGTCTTATCACACTTTGGACCAACCAGCCCTTCATCTTCTCTCTCTCATCTCCAGGTCAATGGGAGTCAATAGACTGTGGTTGAACTCAGCCCATTTCTTCATTGCTGCCATTCCCCTTCTTCCACTCATCAGTAGATCAATGTGGTCACCAGCAAGCTTACATGTCTGTTCATATGTTCCCTTTGAGTTTCAATCTTGGGGTGGGGGTGGGGGGTCCTTCCATCTTCTTTTGATGCTTTCTGCATCATTCAATAATTTGCCCAGAGAATCCTTCAATAATGATATTTGAGGTTTGAATTATTTCTTCAGTTCCCTCAGCTAACTCCAGGTATTTACACATTTTGTTATAATATTTGACTTTGTCTTGTCTTCTTGAAATTTTCTGTTCAGCTCTTGTACCTACTTACCTCTTCCATCTGCTTTAGCATCTCTATGCTGGAGAGCAA